AATGGATATTAAATATTTATCACTTTTAATGATATTCTTTTTTTAGTATCTAAAGTTCAGCGGAAATCACAATCAAACGATACAACCGAAACCTCAGTCATGCTCTCACAATCTGCGAGGTTACGTTTAGAGGAATTAATGATGGAAGGTGATTTGCTAGAGGTTGCACTTGACGAGACGCAACATATTTGGCGCATATTAAGTCATACGAACAGTCCAAGCACTGTCCGTAAGTATGCCTCGTACGAAGAGGTGCAGTCGCACTTAAATCAAGACTCTAAAGACATAAGAAAACGTGGAAGAAAGAGGAAGTCTGAGGAGTTCGAGCTGTTAAAAAAACTTGGACGGCAAAAGATGGAAGAAAAAAATTTAGCGAAACGAAAGGGGCTGCAGAAAGAGAAGAAATCTGCTAGCTCACCGGTGCCAATGAAGCGTGGACCTCGAAAGGTACTTAAATTTGAAAATGTGATCTGCCTCGAATTGAAACTTTGAAAACTTGTGTACGATTGACATCGATGTTTGTGATTGTAGTTATACATTGTTTCGGAGTAGTGAAGCGTCGAACATTGATTTAAAATTGCAATGAAGTTTAAATTCGAGACATAAATTTCAAAATCAAATGATTTAAGCACGGTTTGTTGAACATCGGCTAGCTCGATTTCAGTTAAATATACATTGTAGATGAAACGTAAAGAAGGTGATGACGGCCCAAAGAAAAGGGGTGGTAATCGGAAGAAGACTAAGCAAGATACTTCAGATGAAGAGGATGACTGTGCCGCGGTCAATTGCTTACGACCCAGTGGTAAGTATGCTTCCTATTATGAAAATATTTTACTATAATGATTTCTGTTATATTATACGCATTTCGATTTGGACGATAGGAAGGGAAGTTGATTGGGTTCAGTGCGATGGAGGTTGCGAAGGTTGGTTCCACATGCACTGTGTCGGATTGGATCGTACAGAAATTGCTGAAGAGGATGACTACATATGCAGTAATTGCAAAGAAGCAGAACAAAACTCGACGGTATGTTTATATAAATAGCCCGAGTCGCGTTACTGTTGCTAATTTTAGCTCGAGATAATTTCCTTTATGTTTATTCTATTTATGTAAAATGATATTTTTGTTAGCTTTGTCGTGTCCTCCTTATGTTTGCTTTTCCGTTTATGGTAGGGTGTAGCATACAATGTTTGTAACGTATCCATTCCTTTGTACCATTTATCTCATATATTAATTATCTTAAGATATTTATTTTTTATTTGCTAAGTAGCGTAGTACGTTATAGTTTTAGTGCAACATTTTTTTGTGTTATTTATACTGTAGTCGAGAGCGCCAGATCCGCTAGCTGAATCATTAGGACTGGATGCACTTCTTTCACTTTCTCAATCCCAGGGATACCAGGGCACAGACAGCGAAGCGGACATCCAAGAAACGACATCCTTCGTCAGGACTTACTAGCCCGTTGAATCCCGTTAGCTTCGTATAAAGGCTAGTATGCTCATCGATTACGAACAATTTCGACTGTGAACCAGTAGTCGAAACATTCAATGTTACCTATCACTTTTACCCCAGTCGATTGGCTACCGCAGGTCATCGCGTACGCCATGTGGTTATTGTCGCGAGCGAATGTTGGAGATGAAAAGAAAAGTATTACACTGTGTCACAATATCAAATTATAATCTTCTCATGAGCAGGAATACAATATTTTTATACTCTTTATTTGATGCACTTTTTCGAACAGCGACGATTGTTTTCTCTCGTACATACACAAGTATAGTCATTGTATTTTATTATTTCTGAAGTAAGATGTGTTTCGTCCTTTTGCTGAAAATAGGCAAAGGATATAATGTCCAAGTACTAATACATTCGTGTGTTTTCGTGATTAAATTATTGTCATATATTACATTTTTATATACCTAAAGTTCACTCACACATTTTTTTCTTCTTTCTTTTATATACTTCGGAGTCAAAATTAAGTGTAGCACAGAGATAACGTGTTGGCTCGGCAAAGGAATGCAGGTCTGATTGACGCCTTCTAGCCCCGACACTAATTAAAGTTTAATAGACCTACTTTCTGTCAAACGTATGTTCGGTATTAGCTGAAACAGTTACATCTATAATTGTGGGATTGCGAGGCAAAGGGCTACAAAGTGTCAAAGGTAAAACGAATGGAGTTGTTACCCTCTTTGCACCTGTGCCGTTCCATTAGCCAATTTGTCGTCTCTGCGCCGTAGTTTGTTTCACGTAGGAGAATCAGGATGTACGAATATCGCGGATGAACCGCGATACTCTGCACGATTTCCACAGCAAATCTCGACAAAATTCGATGTACGTGTTTTTCACGACCGATTATAAAATGATTTTTGTCTCTCGTCTCTCGCTGTCAATGTCGGTGGTAATGAAAATACAGATTATACAACCGTTTACTAAGCTAACGGTACGCGTTTACGTTGTGTGTAAAATACAATCTGCGGCGTGGTAGCGATGATTTTTTCATGGGAACGATGAATGGAAAAATATGAAAAAATTCCGAGGCATAGTTCGATCGAATGATTGTTTGCGGGTGATTGGTGATAAATGGGGGAAAATGAAACTTCGCGACGATAGTAGAAGTAAGGAACGAAGAGACGTGTCTTCACAAGGATACTTCTATGTCGATGAAGATATTCCGTCGGTTTTTGTATCAGCTTTTAATTGTAACGACGTTGAACGGAATAAACGATTATCCGTTCACGCGGCGTGGTAGAGTGTACAGATAGACTGAGAAATGTGTGTATTAAGATTATAGATATTATAAATATATATAAGATGAATTAGATTGAAACATAGGTAGATGTAAGTTACAGTTTGTATAAAGGAAAAGAATTGACACGCAGATTCTATGGCATATCTAAAGTCTGCCTTCTTGGAGAAAACGATTCATTGAATATTCATTCGGATTTTGGACCAGAGTATGCAACTTACGCTTCGCACGAGTCGCGGGTCATTTTTCTTCTCATTCATGTTTTTTCTTCTTTTTTTCCTTTTATCTCTTGCCGCGGGAACCTTTAATTGTATCGACGATTGATTTGAGTTCAGACGTTGCTTTAATGGCCTAAGTGAATTGTACTTGGAGTAATTTATCGACGGCGATTTTACGATTTCAACGGTTACGTTTTAGAATTGTGTATCCGACCGATTTCTTCGTCAGAAATTCCCGTTCGATCGGTCCTTTTTACACGCTGAACTTTTACCTAACATTTTTTAACGTCCACACGATGTAATTGTACCGGCGTAGTGTAATTGAAGGCTTACTTTATTACTTTGTACGTTGAAGTATTACGAGATCGTTGTAACTATAACAAACTGTGAGGGAGAGAGAGAGAGAGAGAGAGAGAGAGAGAGAGAGAGAGAGAGAGAGAGAGAGAGAGAGAGA